TATATATATGTGTGTGTGTGTGTGTGTGTGTATATATATATGTATAATTACTATAAATAATACATTTTATATTTAATTTTTAATAAGGGAAGGAGACCCTCTGCATTCTGAATAAACTAGGGTGTGTCAGTCTTCTTAACATTCTTGTTTTGAGTTAAGGGTGTGAAGGGTTTCACCCAAAGTATATAAGTGTGTTCAAAATATATTTTGCTATATTAAAACTGCAGTAATTATTGCTATAGTATGTACTTGATAGTATTATGCATTATACAGAATATTACACTAAATAATCAACACCACAGAAGTGAAACGTTCTATTAGGCTGCCTAATGGGTTAATGAACCCATTCTAAAAACAGCTGTGACTCCTGCCATGCACACCCACAATGTGCGTCTTTCCCATGCAGGCTGTACATTCGCCTCAGGCAGTTTGCTAGTTAGTCAGTAGGAGAGCTGTCACTCATTTGAGGTGGGGCTTGTTACAAATAATGAGGCATAAGCATGTTTCTTGAGTAATGTAATTTCTTTCTGTCTCCTTTAGCCCGGCAACAGCGACGCTTTGGTAACTTTCCCTTCTATGCTGTCAGCCAAGCAGCCTATTGGAGACCAGACTGTAGGAGGTGGAGCCTATCTTGACTTGCAGTTGCTTTAAGCCAAACTATTGACGAGGCCACACCCTTGCGGTGGATACGGCAAACCCCTCAATACAAAGCAGTTTATGCTATTTATATAAGAATTTTAAAAAGAATTAAATGTATTTTCACATTTAATTCTAAAAACAGCTGTGACTCCTGCCATGCACACCCACAATGTGCGTCTTTCCCATGCAGGCTGTACATTCGCCTCAGGCAGTTTGCTAGTTAGTCAGTAGGAGAGCTGTCACTCATTTGAGGTGGGGCTTGTTACAAATAATGAGGCATAAGCATGTTTCTTGAGTAATGTAATTTCTTTCTGTCTCCTTTAGCCCGGCAACAGCGACGCTTTGGTAACTTTCCCTTCTATGCTGTCAGCCAAGCAGCCTATTGGAGACCAGACTGTAGGAGGTGGAGCCTATCTTGACTTGCAGTTGCTTTAAGCCAAACTATTGACGAGGCCACACCCTTGCGGTGGATTCGGCAAACCCCTCAATACAAAGCAGTTTATGCTATTTATATAAGAATTTTAAAAAGAATTCAATGTATTTTCACATTTAATGTATATTGCACATTGTTTTTTAAGCATTAGAGCTAATATTCTACTCAAAAGGTTTGTTGTGTGAGTTTATAAGTTTGTATGTTCGTGTCCATGCACATGCAATGATGTTCACTCAGGAAATAGCTTTTCAAACCAGGGTTTAAACATTAAACCTGCCGAATCAGAGGCAAACTTTCACTGATACCATAAATTTAAGCCAAAGGACCAGAAAAAGTGTGTGTGTGTGTGTGTGTGTGTGTCAGTGCCTCCCTGTTGATGTGACTCTACCGTGAGTATGTGTAACTGCGTAGAGACATACTCAAGCCTTTTTTTTTTCTTTGAAGGTTTTAATTTGCATGAAGTTCATAGAGCTAGCTGTTCTAACATGTTTACAAGATTCGCCAAATTCTTACACCACGCACAGTGTAGTTCGTGGATGTCTGCAACATGTAGTTCTTCTAAGTCATTTCGCCAAAAATAGCTCAGAAACAGAATCAGGAACAACTTTGTGCTTTATATCGGTGTATCTGTGTCATGCCTAAGAAAAATATGTATTGTCCGTACCAATCAATGTACAAAATTCTATAGATAAATGTGCTCGTTGTTGTGTACATGTGTAGTAGATGATGTAACAACCTCTGTCTGTGTGTGTGTGTGTGTTTAACCAAAAGTCAATGCATGTGTGTTTAAATACTGCACTCAGAGAGTGTTTCGGGCCTGCTGTAATACACACAGGTGTAATTTCACCCATTGTCTGTGTATTAAGGAGAGTGTTTGTGTGCATCTGCTGGAATGTGAACAGGTTTATTTGTTACCTGCAGCTGTATCCCATTAGTACCCTCCTGTTTGTTTATGCCAATGTGCCTCATTTATTATATTCTGTGCTTTAAAAAAAAATACTAGGAGTAATTTGCATGTTTAGGCTTTTATGAGAAGTAGGAGTAAAGTGTATGACATTGAAATAGTCCGTGTGATTTATACTAGTACCCACACATGCCAACAAGCAGTAGTTAAGTAAAAGCACTACTCTTTCATGTTCCCGATCTGTTACCATCATATTAATTCATAAACATATGTAGAAAAGAGAAATCAAGAATTTGGCTGTTTGGAGAAAGTATTATTTTATTTTGATATTTTATAATAATTTAAAATAAAGGAAAATTTAACAACGTTTCTGAGGGATTGAGTGACTGACTCATTATATACGTATTTGCATTTACACACCTAAAAAAAGTGAGAAGTGATTGAGCTACATTAAATAGATTTTATTTCAGTAAGTGTTGTCATATCAAAATATTAACACTGGAGTTGCTCTCCCTTATGATAATCAAATTGTAAACAAGAAAATAAAAAGTTTACATTTCATTTTGTTGCTCCAGATCTACTTCTAGAAGGCAAACTTGAAATGCATATTTAATGCCCTCTAGTGGGCAATGTAAGCATCAAAACTTGATCTCTGCTCATCGCATCTCCGGAAAATGTCTTTGTTTTTATTTTACAACTTACAAGAGAGATAAAGGAGGCTGTTGTATAAAACTGCAGTTTCATATGAAAATGTATATTATGGATAGCATTAAAATTCTTCACAAAATATATATTAGAAACCTTTAACTTTGCAAGACATTTAAGCACATGTTCAGAATAAAATACCGATTTGCATACTGCGAAATACACACTATATATACACTGTCTAAAAATAGAATATGATGCCGTACAATATATGGGCACGTTTTAAACAGTAGTACAATAGTTGCATGACCCCATTATGCTTTCAACTTAAGTGGCGCTAATTGCTTCAGAATTTTTTTTTTTTTTTAATCCAATTTTTTAAATGTTCTATTTTTCAAAAATGTTCAAAATATGCAAAAATGTCATTTGAGCTGTTCAATTAAGTAATGAATGAAAAAACGAGTTCACGTCACATTTTAAGCAGACGTTTGAACGCATTGCATTGTGGGATATAGTGTCCCAGGAGTGTTCTGCAGTATACCATACATTCATCCCGGTATTTTGCATACTGTGCACAGTATACATACTGCATACTGCAGAAACAGTATGCGTAGTATAGTAGTATTCTATTCTATTCCGGACATAGCCAAATACAGTAGGTTTATACATTGACAGTTTAAAGCGAAGCCTGACTAGTTTAAATAAACTCCGCCCCCTTAACTTCAGGAAACCATAGATTATAAAACACTGGGAAAGTTTAAAGAATTATTAAAAGTTAACCAGATTATACAGTGCCAATGCCATGCTATGAACAGAACAAGCCAATAAACAGAAATGTTGCTGTTACCGCTTTAAACACTGCTGTGTGGTATTAGCATAATGCTAAAACAGCTCTTATAGCATAGAGGTTTGTTCAGGTTCATATACTGTGTAACAGTGAAATTAGTGCTTTGAGTTAAGGGCTCTTTTTGTCTGTGTAGGTTTTGTGGTCTGTCAGCAGTTGTGTGTGTGTGTGTGTGTATGTTGTCTCAGAGTTCTGTCATTAACAGAGCCCTCAGCAGTTTCTCTCTCTCCATCCGCAGGTCTTCAGAGCTTCACACACAAAGACAGACGGACGAACAGAAAGAAAGATGGGAACAATCAGAGAAAAAACATCAAGACCCACGTCAACAGATGGAAAGAAAAATAGACACAAAACAAAAGAAAGATATGAATAATCAGAGATTGGAAGGCAGATATATATTAGGAAAATATATCTACTTATATCTTAATGGAATTATTCAAGATCTTGGAAAGGGCCTGACTGTGTGTGTGTGTGTGTAGTGTACCTGGTATTCACTTATGGTGGCCAAAGGATAGTAATACCACTATTTTTTGACCTTGTGGGGACATTTTTAGTCCCCATGAGGAAAACAGCTTATAAATCATACAGAATTAAAAAAAAATTTTTTTAAATCTAAAAATGCAGAAAGTTTTCTGCGAGGAGTAGGGTTAGGGTAAGGGGATAGAAAATACAGTTTGAACAGTATAAAAATCATTACGTCTATTGGAAGTCCCCATAAAACATGGAAACCAGTGTGTGTGTGTGTGTGTGTTTGTGTTACCTTTCTGTCTGTGTAGCATATGGAAGCAGGTGAGGTACTTGACTTGGAAAGAACAGTGGAGAGTTGTCACATTCTAAATGTGACGTATCCTTCTGCTATGGAGAAGAAGAAAAAAAGGTCTGTATATTGTCACATACAGTATCTCCAGTGATTAAAGTAATATAAATATATATATATATTGTAATAAACCAAACAAAACTGTTACTGCATATCAGTGGATGTATATCAGTAACAATGGTCACATTTTATTTTGTCATAGAAACTAAAGCATACAGTATTCACCTTATTTATACAGTATACATACACCATAGGTGAGTATACATTCTATAGGTAACTAAAAGAACAAAGTGCAGTAAACAAAGTAGTAAAAATACTTTTAAAATAGTACAAACAGCATAATGATTATTGTTGTACTGCTAACATACGTGGAAGAGGCTGACACCGGAAGCTTAGCACATTTTAGTTTAAAATGCTCTTACATTAAAATAAGGTGCATAGCCGGTGGAGGAGGGAGTAGGAGCGCGCAACCGCGTGAACATTGCCACTCGAGGTGAATATGCGTCATCGCTACCAGACTACAACTGGCCAAAGGGGGATGCATAATGCTAACGGTAATCAACTTAAAAACCGAGTTTTTGACCGAGTTTCACTTTCTAAATCGTCACGGATTGTGTCTACTGGACTAGAACATACATGGATGTATTGACAAACAAACTGACAATATGTTTCCCCCTTTATATTTTTCAATTTAACAAAACACACACACATGTATGTAAATATGTAGGCTACTACACGAATCGTGTGTGGAATTGGATCCCTTTTAAGAATAGTACCGTCATTAACTTAAAGGGACAGTTCACCAAAAAAAATGAACTTACTGCATTTCCTCTGAGGAGGAACACAAGATATTTTGAAAAATGTCTGCTTCACGATGTTCTTCAAAAACATCTTTTTGTGTGTGTGTGTGTTCAGTACAAAAAAGGAAGTCAACCATGTTTAGAACAACATGAGGGTGAGTGAACGATTACAGGATTTTCATTTTGAGTGTACTATTCCTTTAAAGGTGCACTGATTAATTTTTTTCTTCATTATAATTTCCACTGTCTCCCTGAAATTGGATATTTTCTCTTGTGGAATAAATTAATCAAGGCAGACTGCGAACAGAGCCTTTCTACTATGGCTTCAGTAACTGAAAATTTTTTGATTGAAAAATACATTTTGATTGCATCCCGAGCGGGCATAGTAAATCTTACCGGTGGGTATATGGGTGGTTGGACCTGTTTGTCCAAGGAGCTGTTTGAGGAGCATTTTTCCATATTGCACTGGGAGGAGATGGCTGCAAGTGCCTCAGGGAGGTCATCTTCATCACTATGGTTACTATAGGACAAATAAAATATATAAAGAGAGGCCTCATTGTTAAATCTAAAGATAAGCACTGTATTACGCCTAGTGACTCACAAGCTGAACTGTCTGACAAGGCGTTTGCGCCGGTCCACTCTGGGCTTCTC